AACTCAATCACCCACTCTTCCCAATGGCTGAAATGCTGCTGTCACTGTCCCAAGCTTATGATACATTGGTGAAATCTTGCCAGTTCTGTCCGGCTCGTGCAAGAAGGTAGCGCCGGTGGTATGTGGTTCGGCGAACTGGTAGCAGCAGCAGCACGAGGCTCCACCCACCCACCTGGACATTGTTACTTCCTGGTTTTTAACCCTCTGTGCAAAGCCTTCTGCTCATGTGCAGAGGGTCAAAAATCGGACATGATGATGGCGCTCGCACTTCCGAACTGGTAGGGAAGGTAAGTAGATTTCACCCCTGCTATGATATAACAGTCCTACTTTCCCTGTAAATTTATTTTTCTTCTCTTTGGCACTGCCAATGGCAAGGCACATCCAACCATACCCATCATTTTTTTAGGCATTAATGATGCCCTTGTCTCTTGTTTCTCTTCCCACAATATTTCTGCCTGGAACATCCATGTCTTAGGCCCATAGCTAGACAAAACATCTATATCTTAGATCCATATCCTGGCCAAGCATACATGTTCTAGCATGTACAAAAATTGACCCAAGTTAACTGTTCTGCACACAAAATGGGGCATGCAGAAAATATTTCATAAATTCCTTCTATTTGAAAAATAAGCAGTCAAAGTTTATGAACCAATCCCCATTTATAATAAATTCAGAGGTGCTATCTCAGCCTTCTCCAAATATGGGTCCTTTATAGCATGCAGCATTATTTATTTACATATTACTTTTCTTTCAAAATGTGCAGAACACGTTAAATAAGAACTTTCAGAGAGACTTCATTTACGTGATACCATGAAAACATGACTGTCTGTTTTTCTGACAGAATTTCTCTATTTCTTGGTTGAACCTATTTCATGACTATAACTGACCTGCTATTTGATCAGTTTCTACTCAAGCTTGCATTGTGTTACAACCTACCAAGAAAATGAAACCAAAACATACAGTGATTTAATATGTAATTATGCAATTAATTGCATAATTAATGCAGAGTTGATTACAGAAGAAGTGAAGTGATAAGGATATGAACAGAGGGCATCATTCCTGCCACAGGGTTAAGTCTAGGTTTGAATCCTTCACCAGTCCCCTTTCACTAGCTACATGAAACTACTGGGTGATGTGATGTGATTCGGTGGCATCTAGATCCTTGGAGCCTCCAGGCTCTGATCAGCACCTAAATGGCATTATTTTTCCAACCAGGGGTGGAGATGTTTTATTTAGTTCCACCTGAATACTTGTGATACTCTATCCTAGGCCACCAAATGGGCCAAAATGTAATAGCTTGTTATCCATATAAATGGAAAATTAAAATCTGATCTGCACACTGGATAGGTTCTTTCCCCCAAAAAATTACCAAATAATACATTCAGTAATTGAATACTTGACAATAATTATAAAGCAATGGAGAGAAAGCATGTGTGTGTGTGTACTTGCACACATACAGTTTAAAGAAGGCTGAAGGTAATCATTTTATGAGTATAATAACATGGATTTTAATAAACTTTTAGAGTTTATACTATGAAATTCACCCTTCGTAAACTCTTGGCAGAGAGAAAGACAGAAATTGGCTTCATTCACTGAGAGGATCTCTGCTTGCTTTCTCCTTTCCATTTTTTTAAAAAATCTATTTCTATCATTTCTATTGTATTTTAAAAACTGAGATTCTCTCTGCTTGGTTTCTTAAGACTATTTATAATGTCAATGAGCAGTCATATGGCCAGTGATACCCATTTGTTAGTGGGTATCTGTAGTTGATTTAATTAGCTTTGTCTACTCTGGATAAATGGTCTTCCTGTAACATACCAGACATTCTCCCTTATACTTCATGTTATATTTGAGAGCCAGGTTGTATAGTTGTTGAGGTGTCATACGAGGATCAAGTAGACCCAGGTTTAAGTACATTTTCAGCAATGGAAGCTCAGAGGATGACAGAGGGCTTGTCACTTTCTCTTTCACCTTAATTGACCTCACTTTGTTGTTGTGGTGGAGAAAACTGGAGAAAGGATGTGTGCCTTTAAATTCTTAGAAGAAAGACAGGCTATTAAATAAAGCAGGACTGTCAAACTCGCGGCCCATGGGCCGGATGCATCACGCACTGGCCACACCCATGCCAGGTTTGTTGTTATTGTTGTTAGTTGTAAAGTCATGTCCGACCCATCGTGACCCCATGGACAACGTTCCTCTGGGTCTCCCTGTCCTCTACCACCCTCTGGAGTCCATTTAAGCTAATGCCTACTTCTGCAGTGACTACATCCAGCTACCTGGTTCTGTCATCCCCTTCTTCTTTTGCCCTCAATCTTTCACACCTGGTTTAGCGAAGGAGAAAAAAGTTGTAATATGTCACATGATGACGACGTGATGACACAAGTTTGACACCCCTGAAATAAACAAACCAGGTGCCAATGAGATGAAAGGAAAACTTTGAGAAAGAGATGTCTTCTCCAAAGATATTAATGATTGGTTATCTATCTATCTATCTATCTATCTATCTATCTATCTATCTATCTATCTTCATCATCATCCAAGTTTCAGTTATTCATAATTGTCAGCAGCCGTGCTTCTGAAAATAAGTTTGTCTTCCCATGAAAAGTTAAAGGTGCTAATGTTTTCCTTTTACACTCTCACATAGAAGCTATAATAAACTGATACATAAATAATAGTATCACATTAATATATTTGCTGCTTACATCATTCCATTGTGTGCTGTGTGAATATGAGCAGTGGTGTATTTCAATTTTTTTTACTACCAGTTCTATGCGTGTGGCTTGGTGAGCATGACATGGCTTGGTGAGAATGGCTTGGTGGGTGTGGCAGGGGAAGGATACAGTAAAATCTCCATTCCTATCCCACTCCAGGGGAAGGATACTGTAAAATCTTCATTCCCTCCCAAATCCAGGAGAAGGTTACTGCAAAATCCCCATTTCCTTCCTTCAGTTGGGACTTGGGAGGCAGAGAATAGATGGGGGCGGGACCAGTCAGAATTTTTACTACCGATTCTCCAAACTACTCAAAGTTTCTGCTACAGAACCTGCTGAAACCCACCTCTGAATATGAGGAGACTGCAATACGCAGCGGTGTGTCAATAGTTTATTTCTATTGGAAGAAGAGAGAGAGAGAGAGAGAGATGGAGGGAGGGTTATTATTTACCAAAACTTGAAAACTAATGACGTGTCAACAAAACAATATTATTGATGCATCTTGCTGGAAACCAACTTAAACAAAAATCATCTATCAAGTCTAAGCGCCAAAGGACTGACACGGCAAAGAGAAACTACTTGCCAGAAGCAATAGCACAGTTTTCATATGGAAATTAAATATATTTTTGTAGGGAGATATAGAAACAGCTTTCCTCAGCTATTTTGTTTTTGGTTTATTCATATATGAATATATCCTGATGACTTTTACAGTAGAAGATTCAAGACTCTCTTAAGTCTTACCCTGTTGAGGGTACAGTGTGGCTCGTATAAATATTTACAAAATCATAACAAGCAGAGCTACCAGATAGGGGCTGAAACGTTTTGCATTAGATAGCATTGTTTCAATCAATTGTGCATAGACCTGCAACTTAATGGTATATTTATTATATGTTTAGTTTGATCACATATGTAACCCGTTAAGGTAATACTGCAAGCTTTTTCTCCTACTGCCACACAGACACAATATACGTATTTCAATTCTTACAGGTATGTTAACCTTGAGCTGTCTTAAAAATCTCTCAAACAGAGCTGTTTTCAATATGTCGTATCAGTATAAAACAACCAGATTAAGAAATATGGGCCTCATTCTGTCTTGACAATTAGTTTTGTATTTTTCCCAGTCTTTCTCCTCCCAGCTTATGGAATAGAAATGTTTTTGTTTTCCCCAAGAGGAAAAGAAACTAAAAACCTCAGTTTCAGTGAGTTTAGTGACCTTAAAAAGAAAAGCATCTTTTTAAAGCATCTTTTTAGCACAGCAGAATAAAATGATAACATTATAGCCTCATCTTTTTTTACTTTTACATATCTAACATATACTATCAATTTCTAATGACCTTAATTAATCAGTGAAACCAAAAGTCATTGTTTCATTTTTTTTCCCCATCTCATGCACAAAATCCAGAAGCAAAGAGAAACAAAGTTAGATGTATTCTTTTCTGTGATTACAACAGTTAATTTAGTCATCTCTGCTAGTTCCATCAGCTTTTCTAGTTATTTATCAATTGTGGGAATTAGAGCATCTTTCCATTTTTATGCATAAAGCATTCTTGTTCTTGCCATATAGCAATAGCACTTAATCTTATATCCCACTTTACAGTGCTTTACAGTCCTCTCTAAGCAGTTTACAGAGTCAGCATATTACCCCCAACAATCAATCAGACATCAATAGGTTAAATATATAATAGAACAAAAGCTTGATTTAATCAATGGAAACCCATCCTGTCCTAGAATTGCCTTTAGTTTCTTGATTTTTTTTTTTTAAACTGTACAATATTTAAATTGTGGAATGAGAATCATTCTTACTATATTGAATATGAAATTGATAAAGGAATGGCATTTGCAGATAAACTTTGAAAACTGCTAATTCCCTTTTGGGGAAGCAGTTCTCTAAGGCCAAAATACCAAGAATATACAAGCCTCTTTTCTTTTTACGGAATGCATATTGATAAGAGTTTCTATAGTTTACTCAGAAATGCTATCTTTGCATGTTTTATAGTGAAAGGAATGAATTATATTCTACATGACCTGCAGTCTAAATCCAGTGCAAACCCTTTAAGGAACCTTGATGCTAATACATGCATGTTAATAGATATATTCAGTCAATTAGTTGGTGGGTGCTTTATTACACTATTAGAAGTTTGAAAACAAAATGTCCCCCCCCCCCCACAGAAGTAAGCGGTCCTGAAGTAACACTATAAATGAAGTTCAGGCACAGATGGAACTGCAGTATTGCATTATAGTTATATTTCTCATTTCTTTTATTTTTCTCCTCTCTCTCTCTTTTCTTAGACTCAGAAATCAAATTTCGGCTGAAAAGTGCTTTTCCAAGCAAGATTCATTTTGAATTTCTTTGCCCCAATATGAAGCAATATACTGCCAATATACAGAACAGTAAGAGGAAAACATAACTTCGGAAAGAAAATTTATTGTGCAGCACAAAAGTAAAAACTTGTGCCATAGGCCAGGTACAGCTTCTAAACTTTTCTCATAACAATTTAAAATCCAGATGTTGATCTAAAAGAACAAAGGATACTTATTGATGTTGCGATTATTTTGATTATGTTTATAGTAGATGCCACAAAATTACCTTAGACTGTTTCTTCTTTGTCTGTCATTTAGAGTAAATCCCTTGTCTTGGTTATGGCCTATGTTCAGATGTCTGTGCTACTATGTAAGCCTGCCCTGTTTGAGTCATACTGAACCTTGTAGTACCACAGTGGCTATTGTGTTCCTAATATAATGAAGATTATTCATGGACTGGCGTACTTAAGGATGTCATGTTTTGGCATAGTTTATTATAGGAACATAGTAAGCAGGCTTGCACTGAGTCAGACTATTGGTCTATTCAGCCTCAAATTATTAACATTAAACCACTGAAAATTTCAAGGATTGTCCCTGAGATCATTAGGAAATGGGACACTATTCCAGAGCACTGGTCCTCCTTGAACTACATCTCCTTCTTACTGTTGTGGCCTGCCAGTGGCCTGCCAGCAGCCTGCGCAGATTGTTGTTGATCCCAATGACGAGGAGGCTGGTGTGGTGTCACACCAGCAGCCTGTGCAGCCGGCGCTCAAGTCAGACAGCGAGGAGGCTGAAGAAGATGTGGTGCCAGAGGCAAGGATTCAGCCAGGGCCTTCAGAACCTCCAGAGGCTCCTTTAAGTGAAGAGGATGAAGTGGAGGAGCCTCTTCTCAATGCACGAGCATGCAGAGCTGCCAAAAGGCAGGAGTGGTTACTCAGGAGGAGGTCTCCTCGAGAGTAAGGCTTGTGGCTAATTGGCCTCTCCCTTAGCCTATTTAAGTTTGCCCACAGCTTGTAAAAAGCTGCAGGAAACAACGTTCATTCGCTGATCATTGAGTTTGGATTTTCTCTGCAAACCTAGCTTCTGGGCTTTCTGCCAACTGTGATAAGACTCTATCTTATCTGTGGAATTTCTGATAGGTTGTTAAGAACATTTTATTAACAGCCTGCATTTGCAAAAGACTGTGTTTTGAAGTAAACTGAGTTTTGTTCAGAGCTTGTGTGTGCTACATTCTTTGGGATCCGTAGCTGGGGCAGAACACTTACTGTTAATTATGAATGAAATTAGAGAGTCCGTCTTTATTCCAAACTCTATTTCAAAACAAGGAAATAAATTTAAAGCATTGGATATTTATATTACAAGTTATATATTTGTAATTTATATATTTGTGGATATTTATATTACAAGTAAAAAAGGTGTTGAGACTCTAGAAAGAGTGCAGAGAAGAGCAACAAAGATGATTAGGGGACTGGAGGCTAAAACATGAAGAACGGTTGCAGGAACTGGGTATGTCTAGTTTGATGAAGAGAAGGACTAGGGGAGACATGATAGCAGTGTTCCAATATCTCAGGGGTTGCCACAAAGAAGAGGGAATCCAACTATTCTTCAAAGCACCTGAGGGTAGAACAAGAAGCAATGGGTGGAAACTAATCAAGGAGAGAAGCAATTTAGAAGTAAGGAGAAATTTCCTGACAGTTAGAACAATTAATAAGTGGAACAACTTGCCTGCAGAAGTTGTGAATGCTCCAACACTGGAAATTTTTAAGAAGATGTTGGATAACCATTTGTCTGAAGTGGTGTCGGGTTTCCTGCCTGGGCAGGGGGTTGGACTAGAAGATGTCCAAGGTCCCTTCCAACTCTGTTATTCTATTCTATTCTATTCTATTCTATTCTATTCTATTCTATTCTATTCTATTCTATTCTATTCTATTCTATTCTATTATTTGATTCTAAGTTTGTTCTATGCAAACTTAGTTAGCATCACTTCCTTGGAAGATACATCCAGCATTCATCACATGGTGTTATTTCTGGATTGTTTTCTTTAAAAAAAAAAGGTTATCTGAGTCCTAAAATTGACAGGTAGTATAATTTATGCACAATGTGATTGTGTGCGTGCATTTGCCCACTTGACTATTTCAAACAGGATGAAAAAGGAAACAGAAAAGATGTTTCATTAGTTTTATTACTAAGCAATGTACATTATCTGGAAATTTTGTAAAGATTAGGAACAATAACAAGAATAACAATAAAGAATGGTGATTCCAGATTAAAAAGCTAGTTCAAAAATAATAATATAAATTTAATATTATTAAAAATCCAACCAAACGTTATTGTGAAATCCAACCAAACGTTATTGTGAAATGCTATTCAGTATTAAAAACTGTATCATATACCAGTTTGGTGGCTTCTATCCTTTCTTTTAGGAAAACCATTATTAGAATTTGTTGATAAAGATAACAGCTAGAAGGAAATTTTGCCAGCAGAATTGTTGGCATTTATTCATCCAGTCTGCTGTACTTCATATCCAGCGGGAACAGAAAAAAAGATTTGCAACAGGCACTGATAAAGCTGTATGTAGATCTCATTAATATTATTATCAACCTGTAAAGGATTCAACCTGTAAAGGATTCTGTGGTGGATATTTCTGTGAATGGGACTTCTTACAAGTAAAATATATTGAAAATTGGTAGAATAAAAAAAATATTGCCAAATACTGATTGTCATTGTATGTCAATCATAAAATATGAACTATGGGGCGGGGGGGGAAATCAATATTTGATATTGAGAATTATTTTTAGACATGTAACAAACAAAAAAAGAGGTGGCTAATCTTAGGTGTTTTAATATGGCTGTACACCGCCCTGAGTCCTTTGGGAGAAGGACGGTATAGAAGTCTAATAAAACTAAACTAAAGTAAAGTTAGGCACTACTGTCATGGAAGGATTGTCTATATAGGAAGTTAAAAAAGTTAAGATGATGGTCATGAGCATTCAGCACTCCTTTTTATATGCTTTTTAAAAACAGGATGAAACTTCAATTCTGTAGCTGCAACCACCACCAATCAATCAGAATAGAGCTCGAAGGGAACTTCAAGGTCTTTTAGTCCAACCCCCTGCCCAACCATTTCAGACAGGTGACTGTCCTGTCTCATCTTAAAAACGTCCAGTGATAAAGCACCCACAACTTCTCTCGTCAAGCTGTTCCACTGGTTAATTGTCCTCACTGTTAGGAAGTTTCTCCTTAATTCCAGGTTGCTTCTCTCCTTGATTAGTTTCCATCTATTATTTCTTGTCCTGCCCTCTGGTGCTTTGGAAAATAAGTTGGCACCCCTCCTCTCTGTGGCAGACCTCAAATACTGGAATTCTGCTATCATGTCCTCCCTGGTCCTTCTTTTCTCTAGACTTGACTAGACCACCATCTTGATTTAAAAGGGAGATACTTCTCCTATCACCACCGCCTCATGTTTTGTGGACACTTCTGTGTCTGAGCCTGCTAAAAGTTGCAGTTTGTACAATCCAAGTGAATTTGCCATCCTGGTTTATAAGAATAGAGAAAGCATTTTTGTGGTTTCAATTTAACAATCTAGATTATTATTGATTGAAGATAGCCTATGCAAGCTCTGTCTTATTCTTGACTCTTCTTCAATTGAGAATTTAGATATGCTTCATCATAATTATTACACTGGCTGCATTGCTATAAATCTTCCCAAATACAGTGTGAATTACAGCAACATGGTTGAAACTACCTAGTACGTGGGATAGATCAAGATAGAATAGAATAGAATAGAATAGAATAGAATAGAATAGAATAGAATAGAATAGAATAGAATAGAATAGAATTTTATTGGCCAAGTGTGATTGGACACACAAGGAATTTGTCTTGGTGCATATGCTCTCAGTGTACATAAAAGAAAATATATTCTAAAAAAAAAGAAGAAGAAGAAGATAGAAATATTATATGCTGTACAAAGTTCCCTATTGAACATTTCCTATGGATTAAACATTGACTCCAGTGACACTATTTTATCTATTTTATGAAATGTCCTTGTCTCAAGATTGTTCACATTTGCTATAATGTTAAGTATGGCCATCTTTCCATACAATAACTCAGGAACCCTGGTGATATTCAGCATTGAAAGTCTCTCATCTTTCAGATAGCTGGTGGAAGGGATATTTCAAATCTTGCCACTAGATGGCAGTGTGCATGCTTTTGTGCGAATGTTTTTGAGTGGTCTTTGTAAACTACAAGATAGCTTTAAAACTGACCAGGATTATCTCTCAATGGCAACTTGCCCTTAAAGGTTAGCCAGAGGACACTAAAGAATATTATGTAGAAACTGCAGTGTAATGTAACAAAGAATGTAAAAATAAAAACACAAATATTCAGCTGCACAGCAGTCAATATGTTGCACTGCCTTCTCTTCTGTAATGCCTGTCTGCTTTTTGAGTATACACTTAGATACAAGATAAACAGGTTGGACAGATTTTTCTCGGACTATCACATTTCTGTTAACCCTGATTTAGCTTTCTATGATATTATATCTCTGATTTAAACCTCAGCCTAAGAAAGCATTTTTCGTGTATGGTACTAAGCTAATGTTGCTGGAGAAATGAGCATATTTATTACAACAGTTATATTTTTGAAATGAGAAACTGGAACATTTTGGGGCAAACCCAATGTCCACCCCCAAACCTCTGTAAGGCTTTCCTCTTAGCAGAGTGGATCGCCTTGTAGACGTTTCTTCCTTTCTTAAACAAATAGATCATAGGTTGCCTAATACAGTCAAGATATCCAAGAATTCAAACAAATTAAAGTAAAGGAACATTAGAATAAGAATAGAATAGAATAGAATAGAATAGAATAGAATAGAATAGAATAGAATAGAATAGAATAGAATAGAATAGAATTTTTTATTGGCCAAGTGTGATTGGACACACAAGGAATTTGTCTTGGTCCATATGCTCTCAGTGTACATAAAGAGAAAAGATACATTTTTCAAGAATCATAAGGTACAACACTTAATGATAGTCATAGGGTACAAATACGCAATCAGGAAACAATATCAATATAAATCGTAAGGATACAAGCAACAAAATTAAAGTCATACAGTCATAAATGGAAGGAGATGGGTGGTGGGAACAATGAGAAGATTAATAGTAGTGCAGACTTAGTAAATAGTTTGACAGTGTTGAGGGAATTATTTGTTTAGCAGGCTGGCCCCAGAGTGGGGTGGGAATGGGGTTTTTGCAGTATCCTTCCCCTGGAGTGGGGAGGGAATGGAGATTTTGCAGTATCCTTCCCCTGCCACATCCACTAAGCCACGCCCACAGAACCGGTAGTAAAAATATTTGGATTTCACCACTGATTTGAGCTGCTTTATCGCATCTGATATTATAGGTGAGACAGACAAGCAGAATTGTATTTTGTCAGCCACTCAATTATAAAAATAAAAAAAAAGGCAATACTGGAAGCACATGATGTTCTACAAGCTCAGCCTGGAGAGAAAAAATCTTATTATGCAAGAATAATAATTGTACAACATTTAAAACTTATTTATGTTATTCTTTGTTAGATTCATCTGCCCAAAAGCATAGTCTGAAATACCAACCAAGCAAAGGAAAAATGTGGAGCCATATTAAAAACCAGAAGATATAATAATTATAAATCCCAAGTAACAAAATTTATAACATAACATCTGGGCTTGCCTTGAGCTTAAAAGACTTGCTGCCCTAAACTCTGATCATTGCCAGCAGTTTCCTCTGTGAATTGGAGCTTCAAAAAAAACTGCCATTTGATCCAGTTGGAAACAGAAAGAAAGAAAGTGTGCTGCACCAATGCTTGCTTGTTTTGCTACCTGCAAAAGGACTAGCCTTCTCACAGACCCATTTGCACAGGACTGCATCCTTTTCTGAGATCTGAAGCTTGCTGCCTGGATACAATAAAGTCATTCTATTATGAATATATTACATTTGTTTCATTGTTTGTTTTATGGACATAGATAAGTGTCAGTGGTGGGTTCCTCCCGGTTTGGCCTGATTTGGCAAAACTGGTAGCGGGGACGATATGACGTCACCGAACTGGTTCTCTTTGTTTGGGAGCTGGGCCCTCCTGCCCCCCCCGCCCCCCGCCCCCCATTATTCTTACCTTTTATTTGGCCCCACCCCCAATCTATTGCTGCCTACCGAGTCCCAGCTATCAGCTAGAAGGAGAAAACTGTTTAAACTCTTGCCACGGGGCTTCAAAGGGCCGCCCTAAAGCTGATCAGTGTTAAAAGGCAATGCGGTGGTAGACCAGTGCGCTCGAAAAACAAATGAGTAGATTGGTGCCTCCAAAAACAAATGGGTAGACCGGTGCCTCCAAAAACAAATTTGTAGACCGGTGCCTCCAAAAACAAATGGGTAGACCAGTGCCTCCAAAAACAAATGGGTAGACCGGTGCCTCCAAAAACAAATAAGTAAACCGGTACAGCTCTGCAAGCAGTTAAAAGCCTGGTAGACCAGTATCTCTGCTAAATCCTAAAGAATTGTCACATGACCATCAAGCCATGGCCACAAAATAAGCTGCGCCACAGAACTGGTAGTAAAATATTTTAGAACCCATCCCTGATAAGTGTGTTGGAGAGGATGTGTGGGAAGAGACCGCTCGCTTGTTGTGGCCAGATGTTAGAAGGCGATTCAGGAAAATGGGTCAGGGAACAGGGCATAGAAGTTAGCCTAGAGCAGGGGTCTCAAACTTGCATTGTCACATTGTCATCATGTGATGTATCACAACTTTTTTCCCCCTTCGCTAAAACAGAGGTGGACGTGGCCAGTGTATGACACATCCGGCCCGTGGGTCACCAGTTTGACACCCCTGGCCTAGAGTAAACACTGAAGTAACCAGTGACAGCAGAAGACATGTTGATAATCTTGAACAAAATTGTTGGATGGAAAATGGAGAGTGGGTAGTGGCTTATTTTCTTTTCATGTGGCAGCCTGACCAAATCAATTCAGGTGACAGCAGTGGTAAACCTTCTAAATGAAAGACCTGCTTTGTAATGTTACAATAGTTGCAGATAAAACTTTTTATTCACTTGGATTTTAATCTTGGATGAAAATTGACATGTATCACAGAGACCCCATCTGACAGAAAAATAGGGAAAGTCTTCTCTCCCAGGTTTATCTGCCAATTATGGTATTATAATGTAAGATTGGAGGGGCAGACTCTGCCAATCTGAGTCCACATTGTTTTATTTGGGCTATCAGAAGAGATTAGGAATAATAATCTATCTAATCTTGGGTGCTTTTTTGGATCATCCTGGGATTCTGGTGCTGAGAGGTTTTAAATTCCATGCTTTGCCTACTCAGGAGCAATTTCAGACTTTGTAGTGATTATGAACTATTGATGTTGCTGGAAGAAATATCTGGTTCAGTTCCAAGCTGGGAGAAAGACACTGGAAACATGTAGGCTGATTGGAAAGATGGTTTAATGATGAAGCAGAACCACATGGGTTTGAGGTCCTGGGCAGTTGAACACATGGTGTTGAGAATGAGGGGCTTTTATACCTTCTCTTGGGCTTTGTGATCTTATTATGGAGGGGGGTGCGGACCTGGCAGGAATTACGGAGACCTGGTTGGGCCAGGAGGGGGGGTTCCTCTCGTTGAAATGTGTCCACCAGGTTTCCGAGCATTTCATCAGCCAAGGGCTCAGGGAGGGGTGAGGGAGTGGCGGCAATTATCAGGGAAAGTCTTTGTCCGAGGGAGGCCACTGTTCCTCAGATAGCCAGATGTGAGTCCCTTTTTGTGAAGTGGGGTACAGATGGGTTGGCTGACCACGTACCTGGATCCCTGCCATGTGGCGGCAACTCTGCCCGAGCTACTCAACATTATCACCGGAGTGGCGGTGAATACCCCCAGACTTATTGTTATGGGGGATTTCAACTTGCCTTCCGTCGGTGAGGCATCAGAGGTGGCTCGGGAGTTCATGGCTTCCATGATGGCCATGGACCTGACCCAATTAGTTCAAGGCCCCACTCACACCGGGGGACACACTCTGGACTTGATTTTCATCTCTGGTCAGTGGTTGAATGATCTTGGCAGAGGGGATTTAGTCATCAAACCCTTGTCATGGACAGATCATTCTCTCCTTCACTTCCAAGCTGCTTCCCCCCACGCAGGGAGACGGAACCGACCAGATGGTTCCGTCCCAGGCACCTCATGGACCCCGAAAGGTTCCTGACGGAGCTTGGGCCATTTCCTGAGACCCTGGCACACGACTCGACTGAAGACCTGGTGGTCACCTGGGAAAGTGCAGCTGCCAGAGCTTTGGACCGCGTTGTGCCTTTGTGGCCTCTGACCCGATGCCGATCTCAATTGGCTCCTTGGTTCTCTGAGGAGCTGAGAGAGATGAAGCATCGGAAAAAACGCCTAGAGAGTATTTGGAGGACTAGTCAATCCGATTCTGACCGGACACTGGTGAGGTCTTATATCAAGACCTACCTAGTGGTGATAAAAGAGGCGAAATCTAACCATTTTTCCTCTCTTATCGCATCTGCAGAGAACCGCCCAGCCGCTCTGTTTAGGGTGACCCACTCCCTTCTTCGGGGGGGAGTGCAGGAAGATCCTTTGCAGGGTCGAGCTGAGGATTTTGTGCAATTCCTGCATGATAAAGTCGCTCGGATTCAGGAAGGCTTGGACTCCGACTGGGTGAGTCCACTGGGGGAGACGGGGGTAGGTCTTGAGAATATTACCTGGGAAGAGTTTGACCCTGTGGCTCTGGGGACATGGACAGGATTCTGGCTAGGCTTAGTGCTGCCACATGTTTATTGGACCCGTGTCCCTCCTGGTTGGTACTGGCCTCCCAGGAGGTTACACGAGGCTGGCTCCAGGGGATTATAAATGCTTCTTTGAGTGAGGGTGCCTTTCCCGCCACCTTGAGAGAGGCGGTGGTGAGGCTCCTCCTCAAGAAGCCTTCCCTGGACCCGACTGTACTAGCAAACTACCGTCCGGTCTCCAACCTTCATTTTGTGGTGAAGGTTGTTGAGAGTGTGGTGGCACGACAGCTTCCCCAGCACCTGGATGAAGCTGTCTATCTAGACCCGAACCAGTCGGGCTTCAGGCAGGGGTACAGCACAGAAACGACATTGGTCGCATTGGTGGATGATCTCTGGAGGGCTCGGGACAGGGATTGCTCCTCTGTCCTAGTCCTATTAGATTTCTCAGCAGCTTTTGATATCATCGACTATGGTATCATGCTGCAGCGGTTAAGGGGGTTAGGAATAGGAGGCACCGTGTTGCGGTGGTTGTCCTCCTTCCTCTCTGACCGCTCGCAGTTTGTGTTGGCAGGGGGGCAAAGGTCGACCTTGAGGCACCTCGCTTGGGGAGTGCCACAAGGGTCGGTCCTCTCACCCCTTCTTTTTAACATTTATGTGAAGCCGCTGGGTGAGATCTGGTTTTGGGGTGAGAGTCCATCAGTACGCTGATGACACTCAGGTGTACATCTCCACCCCAGACCACCCCAATGATGCCCTTGATGTGATGTCCCACTGCCTGGAGGCCGTGTGGGTCTGGATGGGGAGAAATAGGCTCAGGCTAAACCCTTCCAAGACCGAGTGGCTGTGGCTCCCGGCGTCCCAGTATAGTCAGCTGGTGCCATCGCTGACTATTGGGAGTGAATCTTTGCCCCCCACCGAGAGGGCTTGAAATCTGTGTCCTCCTGGATGCACGGCTGTCTTTAGAAGAGCATATGACGGCCTTGGCCAGGGGGGCTTTTTATCAGGTTCACCTGGTACGCCAGTTGCAGCCCTTTCTGGATTGGGACCACTTGCGCATGGTCACTCATGCCCTTGTCACGTCATGTCTGGACTACTGCAATGCTCTCTACATGGGGCTCCCCTTGAAGAGCACTCGGAGGCTCCAACTGGTCCAGAATGCGGCCGCGCGGGTGGTTATGGGTGCGACTCATTGCGCCTGTGTGACACCTCTCCTGCGCGAACTGCACTGGCTCCCAGTGGTCTTCTGGGTGTGATTCAAGGTGTTGGTTACCACCTTTAAAGCACTCCATGGCTTAGGACCCGGGTACTTGCGAGACCGACTTCTGCCACCAATAGCCTCCCACCGGCCAGTCCGCTCACACAGAGAGGGACTCCTCAGGGTGCTGTCGGCCAAGCAATGTCAGCTGGCGACACCCAGGGGGAGAGCCTTCTCTGTGGGAGCTCCTGCCCTTTGGAACGAACTGCCCCTGGAAATACAAAAGATCTCCGACTTCCGTGTGTTTCGCTGTGCCCTTAAGACCCTACTGTTTCGCCAGGCAGAGCTAACTATGTAATTATTTTAAATTGGGAGTTTTAAATTGGGGGTTTTAATCCGGGCCAAAATTGTGTAACATTTTAATAATTTTAAATTTTGATATTTGTATATTTTTTGTTTTAAAATGGCTGTACACCACCCTGAGTCCTTCGGGAGAGGGGCGGTATAGAAATAAAATCATTATTATTATTATTATTATTATTATTATTATTATTATTATTATTATTTGAACTTCCTGTTCCTATTCAAGAACATGTATTCTATTGGCTGTTGTTGGGGTCCTAACTGGCTCTATAGGTTGTCTGAGTTAAATTTGGTTGAAGCCTGGAGGGCGATGCAATGTCCCCAGGAGATTGTGCAATGTAGTGAGCTCTGCTAGATGATAGAGAGCAGGGGTGAAATACTCCCAGTTCGGACTGGATTGGCCGATCCGTTAGTAATGGCAGCAGGTAGTTCAGAGAACCGGTAGCAAAAATCCCTGGGCCCCCCACCCATGCCCACCTAATTGCCCGGTCGCCCATTTTCCCGCTTGGCCACTTGCTGCTTCTTTCCGGCTTACTCGCTTTTCCGGCCTTGCTTTGCCTGCTGCAATCCCTGCAATCAATTGCATCAGCTAGCAACTGAATCTGCCTGCCTGCAATCAATCTCATCAGTGAACAGCTGAATCTGCCTGCCTT